ATATTTATGTTTGTGGTTGTAATGTGACAAAATATGGAAAAGTTCAAGGGGTATGAATACTTTTGCAAACCACTGTACACCACCCAATGCAGCTACACAGAAGCTTCAACCCTTCTGTGTTGGCTGTCCACAAGGGTTAGGAGTGTGTTTATGGGGATTTTTGACCATTCGTCCAGAAGCACATTTTGTGAGGTCACGTACTGATGTTGGACAGAAGGCCTGGCTCTCAGTCTCCACTCAAGTTCACCCCAAAGGTGTTCTATCGGGTTGAGGTCAGGACTCTGTGCAGGCCAGTCAAGTTCATCCACACCAGACTCTGCCATCCATGTTTTGATCGACTTTTCTTTGTGCACAATGTGCACAGCCATTTGGATGGTTGAGCAAATACTTTTAGTAATATAGTGTATTTCTAACTACCTTTAAATGCAGCCTAATGAGATACTGGCATTTTAGGTAATCCAATACATATCCAAATTTAGTCTTTTTTCAGAAAGGTGTGCTGCATTTGTATACTGAGCCTATTACTGTTCACATTACTGACACATTACTGCTCTGCCAGCTTCACCAGTCACAGTATCATTAAGTTTGCTGATGACATTATTGTTTTGYGCTCTGTTTAAACAATGCTGAGTCAGCATACAGAAAACATTAAAATACTTGGTAACCAACTGCACATAATTTAGCCCTCATGACCGCAAAAACCAAAGAGATGGTAACAGACCTGACCACTGGCACCACCTCCTACTGGCCATCAGTAACTCAGAGGTGAAGAGGGTTCATAGAACCATCTGGTTCTTACTCTAAAATATAGGTGACTCATTGGTGTCTCAGTGTCACATCTGGAGGACATCTACACTGAACATTGTGTTCATGTAGCAGACAGCATTTTAAAACACAACCAACTCATGGCATGTTCATACTGAGGCCATCTGGGAAAATGTGCAAAAATCTGAGAACAAGCTGTACTCTGCAGTTAAACAGCTTTTTTTCTCCTGGCAATCAGACTGTTGAATAAAATAATAGATAATATTTCTATGTTTTGTTAAACAAATTTTTTTATTACTGTGTAGCAAACAAGGTGTTTATTCCTGTTACCTAGATGTACACTTGATCCAGCTGTTCAATCAAACCATCAATTGTTTTTCAATTGTTGTTTAGATTTGGGAGTATATCTGTATTATTCATTTTTCTCTGAGCAATGTTTTAAGTATTTTTTGTATTCAACATTTAAAAAAATAAAATAAATAAAACAAAAAAGACCCTGTCTAACCCTGTTTAATTTTTACACCTCTGCCCATCCCTGCTTGCTCATCTGATTTTGTAATTTGGAGTCTAATAGTCATTGTCGGTGGCAGCTGGCAGTGTCCAGGCTTTCAGGCATAGTTCCACCATCTGACACGTGCTCCTGTTGGGAATAAACAGAATGCTCTAATTTGAAGCATGCTGAAACCCTTTGGGCTTTTTCTAACCTTTATTTTGAAAATGCTGCACTCAAAGTGCAAGACCTTTGAGTTTCAGAAAAAAGAAAAACGGTGATGTGAACATGAAATTTGTATTTGCTGCATTATCCTTTAAAATTGGGTTCTAATTTTACTTTTTGTTAATATTTTGGATGCTTTAAAAGTATTATTTGTTTTGGGGTGGCTGTGGAAGAGTGGTTAGGGGAGTCGTCCTGGAATCGGAAAGTCACAGGTTCGATCCCCCGTCCAGCTGTCTCAGTTGTTGTGTCCTTGGGCAAGATACTTAACCCCAATGCCTCTGATGTGTGTCCCATCAGTGTATCAGTGTGATTTACACTGATTAGTCTCCATGGATGATTGTATATGTTAACATTGTAGGAGATCTAGTAGAGTGCTCTGTGAATGGGTAAATGAGGACACAGATTGTAGTGTGAAGCGCTTTGAGTATCCTGGTTGGGTAGAAAGGCGCTAAACAAGTACAGTCCATTTACTGTACCATTTACCATGATTTATGGTTAACAGTCCTCAAATTGAAAAAAATAGCCATCCCTGGGCTATTATCAAATAATCCACTCTTTCTGTTGGCATTACTTAGTGCTTTCATTTATCTCTTTTTCACACAGATAAAATTGAGAATGGAGAAGTCTACCAGAGGAGAAGAGGGCCACATTTGGGCCACTCTAATGGACACGAACCAGAAACGAAACAACTTGAAGGAGTCGGCCAGAAAGGCAGCAGTTGGCGTCGGATTCTTCTCCTCATTTTAGCCATCACCATTCATAACATCCCAGGTAAGGAGGATCCACAGTGAATAAAATTAGCAAGTAATGCTATGGTTGTATTGTTGAAATAGTGTTTACTGTTTCCAGAATTTYATTTCCACCTATGTGTTTCAGTCARTTCAAATTAAAGTGTTTTAATGTTGTAAATTTGTACAGTCCTGCTGTTTTACCATTTTTTTGATGATGAACCTTATTTTGACTTTAATTTGATCATAAATCAGTCTGTGGGGGTCTGGCAGGTCCCCCACAGCCACTTTCAACTCGGAATCTTGTGCTGCACACCGACAGCGACTCCTCTTCAGCTCATTCAGCAAGTCTTACTGCTGTGTCTTTGGTCGTCATTTTCTAGTACATTTCAGATTCAAAAGAAGCCACCTGTCATAGGTCTCACCTCCACTCACTTAGTACTACTTTGGCAGACAACCAAACATAGTTTTCTACTAGATTACATTTTTATAAATGAAAAGCAGCAGATTTGGATTAGTTTTATTGTTAGCACTCACCACCATGAGAGGTGGGAATATGTKTGTGTTGGTGTGTTTTTGTGACYATTAGCAAAAYATCTTTTACACTAACAGACAGATTTTAACGAAACTCTCAAAGTAATAATTGGATGTACATTTATGTACAAATGATTACCTTTGGAGTCAATCCAGTTTCAGATGCCCACCAGTTCTCCAAAAAACCATCCATCCATCCATTCATCCGTCCATTATCTTAACCCACTTATTCCTTTCAGGGTCACTGGTGCCCATGTCCAGCAGTCACTGTGTGAGGGGTGGGGTACATCCTGGATAGGTCGCAGGTCCATCACAGGGCCCTCTAAATAACCACAGATCTTAAAACAAAAAAAAAAGTGAAAAAAAAAACCTTTAATGTGTCTAAAAAGCAATCAGGTCAGGTTGTGTTTTCTCTGTGTACATGCTGCATCTCAAGGGTCGCAGAGGTTAGAGAGATAGGTCACCACTTTCAATCCCCTGATCGTTACATAAAAAAATATGTGGGGCGGGAAAGGTGAAGTGAAACCCCCTCCTTCATACAAGTGGGCTGTGGTAACTTGGCTTTTTTAGTCATTTTAAATAAAAACTATTAATAAAAAGTCCTGGATTTTCCACCTTTGCAAACCCTTCTCCCGTTGTGGGTTGTCTCTACAGCCCCATTTGTTCCATTACTGCTGAGAACTTTAAGTTGTTCTCGAGGAGCTTTTTAATCGATTATTCTTACAACAAATCCATAAGTTATTCMGATGTGAGTGCACTGGAAATTTAAAATGTTTTCATCAAATTAACAAGAACAGTTCTTTAATATTATAATATTTTCATTAATAGTTTTTTCATGGACACAAAATATGCACTCTAGAGACTATTCTTTAACAAAAAAAAGCTTAAAAGATTTAACATAAATATAAAATCTCAACCAAAGCACATAAAATTCAAGTAAAACAAATATAGTACAAGATGTTAACAATCTAACAAATGAACTAAATCATACAAAATTCAAGTCACTCTGGAAAAACTATAATAAATATTAATTTATTATTTTTTATTTAACATATTTCTCAATATATAAAATTAACAAATATCAAGACAACATCCAACTCTTTGTATTGTAACATCAGTTGTGTAACTTATTTCTTTAAGGTGAAAACTGTTGAAAACAACAAGACTGTTTTGTCTTGTTACACAAATTAATATCCAGCTCCACGTGTTTCTATTGATGTCATTTCCCCACTAGAAAAATGTGTGATGGARGTCCATGGAAGGCAAATATGTTTAAATCAAATAAACAAAAGAGGATGCAGTTAAAATAAATAAAAGGTATTTAAGCTACGTTTTGAACATCCTAAACACGTCCAACACTTGTTGGCTGCTTGTGCTCTTTAGGTCAGACGTGTGTCGGGAAGCTCCTCTGTTGTTTGAGACGCTGGGGGAACCGTCTGATGGGGGAACGTGGCTCGACCTAACACCGGTCTCTGTTTAATGGTGGATGAAATAAAGAAAGTGGTGGTACTTTATTTACTTTGAGCAAGCGAACGTCATGTTCACAAGATAATTAATCCACCAGATAATTCAGAGGCGGTCTGTTTGGTGAATTTTACTCCAGGAGCTGCGAGGCTTGTTTTCAAGCTTCAGACTGAACTGAAGCAGCGGCTGCTGACGTCATTACGCTCTTGCGTGATGCTGCGTTCAAGACAAGCATGAAAAACTCACCACTCTTATTCCAATACGGTCGCAAAGATGCATTTAGGTACCGAAATGGAATTGCATGAACATTCACGTGGTGGAAATCTGCGTCGACAAATTTACATAATCGRCGTCATCGATTATTTCAACTAATCAGTGCAGCCCTACTTTTGACGTCCACGGCCTACCCCAGTTACCACTACTGTGCATGTGTGTCAAGGACAGAAAGGCAGATGTGGCAGTGGAAGGTGTCAAAGCAGTTTGGAGAGAAAAACAAAGTAAAAAACAAAAAAAAGAGAAAACGATTAATCGATTATTAAATTAGTCATCGATTATTTTAATAATCGATTAGTAATCGATTATTAAAATAATTGATTACTAATCGATTAGTTGTCGATTAATCGATTAATCATAGCAGCCCTACTTTTATTACAACACTTACCTTAGTTTTATTAAACCAGTTCCAGTGTGTAAAAAGTGAAAGCTAAATTGATTTGCTGCCTGCTTGCCTCAAAACACAAAACTCTCTGCCAAAAATATATTTAAACATTGTGTGATTACAGCTGTTTGTGTTTGGAATAACAGTTTTCTCAAATTAGCAAGTGCTAAACAAACATGTCCTCAAAAACCAATCATTCATCAATCATTTACTGTCAAGGTGGCATTTTGTGTCCTAACAAAAAAAGAAAAAAAAAAAGCATAGTCCAGAGGGTCAACACCATTTTTTATCAGTTTATGTATCTCTGCATCACTGCACTTCCTTTCTTCCTCATTTTGTTTGGATGTCTACGGTTTTCCAGCCTGTTGTTGATATCCAAGTGTTTTGTGACACTATTATTTTAGACTGTCAATATGACAATCATTTCTCAGCATTGGCTTCCTGACTGACAACAGTGTAAGAATAAGACTTTCAAATAAAAGGATGCAAGAGAGAGAGAGAACTAAAAGTGAATTCATCAACTCAGTTCTTTACCGTTATTTTACCAGGCAAGTCTCGATGAGATCTCAGATCTCTTTTTCAAGGGCGGCCTGGGCCTGAAGGCAACCTATTGTACATGTTTTGAGGGGTGGGGGAAACTGGAGTACCTGGAGAAAATCCACACAAGCATGAGGAGAGCATTCAAACTCCGCACAGAAAGACCCCAGGTCCAAACCGGGGATCGAACCCAGGACCTTCTTTCTGTGGTGCGTCGGTGCTAACCACTGAGCCGTCGTGCTGACTCCTAACAAATTAATTGAATCTAATTTGTATAATACAACACAAACAAATTTAGCAGATTACAAAATGTCAAAGTTCTTTATCTAAGATAGCCTGCAATTTTTATTAAAATTTTGAGGAGACACGTGGCAGTGGGTGATCTGGGAAGGAATGATTTGCTTTTAACAATAAACCCCCAGCAGAAACAGGCGCAGGATGAGCGTCTGTCTACCTAACATAGCAGGGGTTAGTTAGGACAGGATAGAGACACAAGCATAGAAATACTGAGCCAGGTGTACTTTCTGTGAAGATGAAAAACAAAGAACACTAAGGTCATGGCAGCAATAATCACAACATGGAGAATAAAAACAGAAGCACAGTGAGGAAATATGGTCAGTTTGTCCTCCAGCAGTCTAAACCTATAGCAGAATAAATAAATCATAGCTYTGGATAGCAAAGCAAACCCTAATATAGCATTTATCAAAAAAGGAAAGTCTTAAGTYTAGACTTAAGTGTCAGCCTCACGGACAGAAACTGGAAGTTGGTTCCACAAGAGAGGAGCTTGATAACTGAAAGATCTGCCTCCCATTCTACTTTTAGTAACTCTAGGAACCACAAGTAAACCTTCAGTCTGAGAGCGAAGTTCTCTGTTAGGAAAATACGGAACTATAAAATATTAAATATAAGATGGAGTTTGGTTGTTGAGAGCTTTTTATGTTAGAAGTAAAATATTAAACTCTATTCTGAATTTGACAGGGAGCCAGTGGAGAGAAGCTAAAACTGGAGAAATATGATTCATTCCTTCCAACTCTCATTAGAACTCTAGCAGCAGCATTTTGGACTGACTCCATAATTTACACCACATGTGTTCCRTCTCTGCTCTGCTCCGGTCCGACCTCCGCAGCAAATACGCACCCAGTATAATCAATGAGAGTGTTTACACTGGCTGCGCACGGTGGCGGTGAGCAGACAGCGATCCGTCAAAATAGAAACAGATCCTATTTTTGCCGGACTCCGGAGCTGCGCCGGAGTCAAATTTTAAAGATTACGTCGCACCAACAGGAAAAGAACTACACCGTATTTTCAAAATAAGACACTTTTAGGCTGGATAATTTGTCAGAATAATGTCGAAATTGCAGCTATATTAATAAATATACGGATATATTTCTACACAAATGCTGTCAGAATGTATTGTTCTGTTTGGGAAGCAGATGGAAACATGTAGCATGAAGCATATGTGTACACACACGATACATGTGGATTTTATTTTGAAATCAGAAGTTTCAGAAAGTCGACAGCGAGACTGTTGACATTATGATGTTTTTGTGCTCTCATTTGTTGTTGTTTTTATCATTATTGGAATGTGTCACATCATGTGACTTGTTTAATTGAACACACTCGTGTACAATAAAGGGTGTGTCCTTCAAACAAAGTGTGACACAACACGAAAGCCAAACCGAGTGAGTCTCATGGTGTCACGTTGAACGCTGTGCTGAAAAGTGATTCTGCTAAAATATAGTCTGGTCAGATGAGACCAACATTGAACTGTTTGTATTATGTATGTTTTTGTGCTCTCATTTGTTGTTGTTTTTATCATTATTGGAATGTGTCACATCATGTGACTTGTT